TTCTCCCTTCTTGGCTTCATGTAGATTCTCTTCGCTTAGTTACTAAAACACTTGTCCAGCAGATTTTCTGTGATCATAAAGGCATGTTTGAACCTTGTACTCTTAAAAATACATCAATGAAGGTCTACACTGGCGCGACGGAAAAGTCACATGATTTGGTTCAACCAATCAGAATTTGGAAAATTGCTCCATGAGCTGGGTCACGTTTTTCGGCGCTTTTTTAGATCACGGGGAAGGGTGGCAGGTTTTCCTGAGCCAAAAATAGCTAAAAATAAAAATAAAAGGTCAGGCTTGCAAAGACGTTGAGGAATTCATATATGTAGAAATAACTTATCATAAAAATATCTTAAATATAAAAAATTCAGATGAAACTTACATTCAGAATTGTTTTGTTTATGTATACCTGGTGGTTCGAACTGTAGAATTGCGTTATCACTGCACCGGGAAAACACGTTTGACTGGAATTTTCCTTCTGAGCTCTGCGTGCAGAAGAACAGTGAATACACATCTGAACAGAACCTATGCCACAGGCCCATGTAGGAAGGGTATAAAGATCTGTAAACGTACAGGATCTGAGGCAATTGTGTTTGGGGAACTATTTTAGAGGTCTTTAGAGAGAGAGGAAACCCATGCCAACTACCAGACGAGATACATGATACAGTGGACCAGAATGAGCTTCAAAATAAGCAACGGTCACATGACACACGCATTAAGAAAAAATTCATATATTTGGTAATTTTTAAATTATAGGACTTTCGATTTCTAGTACGTCATCCACCAGGGGCCCATCGATGGGCTTCTGTATCCACCTATTAGACAAAGCAATGTACGACAAGAAATATAAAACAATCTTTTCCGTCAATTTTCCGATTTCACTCTTCGAGCTTCAGAATCATCGAAGTACACCTTTCCCAGCAATGTAACCCTTCTTCTGTTTCATCATCATCATCATCGTCGTCGTCGTCGTCATCATCATTTCCAATTTCCCAACTTGGAAACACATCATAATACTTGCGAAAAAGATTCAGAAGACTTTGATTTCGGACAAGAAACGTGTCCGAAAATAAAACCGTTTGACCGGGAGGGAGAATTTTTATGCGTCCAAAATTGTAAGGTCCGAAATATTTACCGTACAATAAAGAATTTTTAATTAGCTCCATACCTTGAGGATACAGTACTGAAGTATCGTTTTCACAGATGCTTTTTCACTCTACCTGGAATTCGGGTTTTGTAGGCGTAACTTAAGCTATGTTTCAGCAAAGTGTCAGTGGCGGATCTGGGGGAGGGACCCGCGAGGCCCGGCTCCCCCCTTATTTTGGAAAAGAAAATCGCAGAAGGAAGAAAAGCCGGCAGGACAAGCAAGAAAAAAAACAAAAAAAAACAAAAAAAAACGCTCTCCACCGGACTCGAGAAAACGGTGGAAATCGAGCCTAGGTAACCCTACAACCCGGGTACACTCAAAGGGTCTGGAAACAAATAGAAAGTTAACCCGGGTGGGCGGGTTAACCCTACCTGGAGTATTTACAAGGGAAAAAGTTAACCCGCCTGCCATGGTAACCCTAGCACGCAGATAGGGTAACCCGCCTACCCGGGTAACCTGCCTACCCGGGTAACCCTGGCTGCCTTGTAAACACGACGAAGAAAAAAAAGAGGAAATGTGTGAGTGCTAGGGTAACCCTCTCTCCTTGTAAACAGACCCTAATTTCTTGACGAGTCATCATGAGGAGTCATTTCAGTAGAGACTGGGAACAAGTCTATTTTCGGATACTCATCGGCAACTCATCGGTTACAGTCGGTATAGCTCGTATTTGTGTCGAGTGACGTAATTTGCGACCTCCATCTATTTTGGTCATCGCGAATAGTCATAGACACCTTGAAGAACTCTGTATTTGCCTAAAATGTAGCTGTTTCGTGCTTACAAATGGCTGTGTTAGTTAACACCTTCTCAAAGCATGCCACAGACGTCACGTCATGCAGTTTTTCGCCTAACAGCAAAGTTTTAGCCTCCAGTTCTGGCGATAAAACCGTGCGACTGTGGAACATCGAGGATGGAAGTGAAGTCTCTATATCACCTTTGCTTGGGCATTCGTACGGGGTTAATTCTTGCCGTTTTTCGCCGTTTGGAACTTTACTCGCTACAGCCTCGACAGACTGTAATGTTCACCTTTGGGATGTTAACACAGGCTCTGTGATCGCTGTTCTTCAGGGGCACAAAAGCGGTGTTCGCGTTTGTCGCTTCTCGCCGAACTCTCGATTTCTTGTGACCGGCTCCGCAGATGAAACGTTTTGTATTTGGGATGTTTCCTCGAGAAAGCTTATCCGGTGCGTGGAAAGACTGGAAAGTAGTGTACTGACTTGTTGCTTTACGCCAGATAGCTTGCATATAATAACAGGAACAAGTATGGGAGATTTGTGCGTCTGGGATGCCCAGAGTGGAAAGTTGATGAAGTTGTATGCAGAAGGCCATGATATGGGAGTTGCAGATTGTTGTTTTTCGCCCACTTTTGGATCAGCTAGTAAGTGCCATTCACTGTTCTTCGATTTGTGGTAACTGGTGTTGTTAAAAGGTCAATTCTAGACATTTCTTTTTGACCTAAATATTATTAAGGTATAAGTTATATCTTAACTTCCTAAGCTGAAACTTAAGCTAAGTATTGTACTCATTTGTGAATAAACGTATTCTGCTCAATACTATTTCAGCCCAAATAGTCCATCGTAAAAAAACCGAAATGTTAGATTTTATTGAAAACACGGACGCTTGCTCCCGGGCGCTTGCTTCTTGTAGCTTCTTGTCGCCAGAAAATTCAATCAAGAAGTCAAAGAAAGGTTGTCAATACATGTACGTCACAGTCCTTCCATATTAGACTACTTGTCTCGTTAGATAAATTTATTTCCTTTTGTTAAGTTGGTTATTTATTAATGACGTGTTTTCACAAACTTGAGATAAGAATGTGATAAAACCATTCACTTTAGAATGGCTGGATGTGACTATTGTTTCCCCACATTCAGGTGCTTCCCTATGGTATTAGATAATTTTTAGCCAACTAACTCATGGTCATAAAATCCAGTGTTTTAGATACATGTATTCAGTTATAGTGGTTTCATTGCACTATGTCATTGTATTGGTTTTATTAAGATTGTTCTCTGATGCAGGTGTAACATCGTGATTATAATGCGTTGATTTCTCCAACTAAAGGCAGTTTCTATGATAGTAAATTATTTCACATTTCACTTTCCAATGGGTGAAATTTTGTGTGGTATAAAGTGTTGGTAAGTGGCATAAGGTGGATGAGACAAACAAAGCAATATGAATGCTTACATGTAATTATTTCTTGGTGTCTTTCTTATTTAAATGATCTGAACTCAAAATAAGGCACAAAGAATGTTGTCTTGGTGTCAGTGAATTTTAGAAGCCAGTCTGCCAGTCATGGACACTTTGAAATAGGTCGTATTCATATTCTTGGTACTGGATTAGAACTACTAGCTTGCAAGTAAAGCTAATGCAGGGAGTCTTTTTAGATGCAAATGACATTAATCTCTTTTAATCATTAATAATCGTCATTAATCGTCTAATACCGTGAATACAAATATGACCTATTTGATATTTGAGTCTTGGAAACATCAGCATCACTATTATAGGCAGTGGTAGTTCAGCTTTGTATATCACAGTTTTAAGAGTTTCAACATGATGGCCAGAGAAATAACTGTGCTTGTTGGGATTGATGCTCTCATTGCCTATTGAACTCCCTTGAAATAAAAGTGAACTGCCACCTCCCATAATATCACTGTTGGATAGGATTTTAATTTCTGTATGGTAACATTTCTCAAAACAGCTATAAATGGGTGGCAGTGAATGCTTGGGAAATATGGCTAAATTCTAGTGTGTGATTTGTAGACTAGCATCCCTTCCAAGGGGAGTATTGTATGTAGCAGTACTCCTAGACCTTCCTTTCCTGGGTCTTACCATCTCAGCTGTTTTTATGACACCCTTTCAAGGTTTTTATTACTTCTACATCAATGAGAAAGCTGGGCTTATGAGAAAGAGCATTATTAAAAATACATTTACCTTCATGTATTGGTCTAACCATCTCACAAAGTCTCAAATACTTCTAGTATTTGTCACCCCCACACCTGTAATAAAACTACTTCTGGCACTGACTGACACTAGCTTTAGAATCTTTTGAGATCTTTTTCTGACTGGATAAAAGCACATAGTGAATCCTCAAACACCCATATTTTTGTCACCGATATGACCAGGTAAGTTGCACCTTGAGTTGAACTGGCTTTGAAGAATTCTCACATTGTGCTACAAGTTGTAACAACTGTTGGCGTCAAGCCCAGGTCAAGTAATGGCCTCCCCAAGAATACTTTTTTTGGGAACAGACAGGGCTCTAGTAGGTAAACATCTAACTTCTCTTTCAGTGTCAATACACTTAATTATCAAGAAGATATTACCAAAGCCATTTTAAAAGTCATTTCCTATCTTATGAAGACTAATATTTATAATAATAATAGAGCAATGTCTAACTCTGAATTTTCTACGAACCAAATTTTCCAAAGTAACATGTATGAAGGGTTAAACAAGTAAAGTGATATTCCTGTTGAAAAAGAAAACTAATTGAAACTTTCTGTTCAGTTTAGAATAAATTTTAGGTCAAATGATTTCAAACTAGTTTTATGTCTATTTTTCTTTATATTGAAGTAGCTATTTTAAAATTATCTTGATCTAAAATTAATTTTTAACTACAACATAGGCATCATTGCTCCAAATTTAACCATGGATAATTTTAACTGATAATGTACAATATAATTATCAGAACTATTTTTTGAGAATAGGATTCTTTTATGTCAAGCTTTGAATGATCTAAGTCTTTACCTGAAAGTTAACTCTTGTTAAAAAGCACTTCTAAATATTTTAAAATACGCAGTAAAGATTAAACTTGGTTAGTCTTTTTTTTCGTTTTTTTTTAATGGACAAATATTTATGTGGTATTGTATTATTACTAAGAAATATTTTAATAATGCGAGATGTGTCTCAAATAGCTTGTAATAATTGCATTAAAGATTTCACATTAAACTAATTCTTTCTTCTCTTCATTTTAACTAACATGATACAAATAAAGTTTCTTTTAATTCTTCTTACAGTACTGAATATGGAATCTCCATTTATGACTCAAGTTACATTGCGTCGTCTTGGTCTTGACACAGACTGTAAGCTTAATACATGTATATTGCTATAGTGCATGTAGTTAAACTGTTTTCATTAAACAGAGGAAGTTGTTATTTGAAGCAAGTTGAATTTTTCTGAGATACCTAATCATAACTGTGAATGTTATTGAAGGATGCAGTTCTTAACTCTGTAGCATACAGTAGGTCTTGCAGAATTTATTTTTCTAACTTTTCTTAGAGAGGTCCTTTGTAGAAATTATCACATGACCTTATCAATCAAACAGGTATATATGGTACAGCTCAGAATGGTTGCAAAAAATGGAAAGTTTGTGTGATTAGCAAGCTTTTCAATTTGAGACCAGAAATGATTCAGTGTAAGATTTTATGTTGGTTTGAAAGTTTGAAAAAAGTTTCATGAAACTTTCTTTGTTGCTGGATGGTAAACCTTCCCATACAAAGTATACAACTTTTTTCCATGCAACTCTTCATGAATTTTCAAACTTGCATGCCCACATCTGTCGCTTAATAAATGCTAGCCATTCCAAAATTGGCAATTTTACCAATATTATTATGATCTTAACTGGTATTCTCTCTGATCTTCCCCATACACATACTTACAGGCTTTATTCTCAAAATTGTGATGGTGCCCATACATTTTTGTCCTGGTCAGGAAGTCCTTGTTATCTGTCATCCATACTGTGATATATGTTATTGTAGAATACAGAAGTGCACTCAAGACGATTTACTTGTTATTTTCCAAAGCACTGAACAGACACAGTTGATTTGATTGTCAAGAATTTGTTTATAATAATCACTTATCCTTTTCAATCTTGTTGAACACTGGGATCATGTCTACAGAGCACAAAAGGGCTGAGTGTTGATCGATACCCTTGATCAACACTCAGTCAATACTCCATTGACACCTTGGTTGACTCAATTGACACTCCATCAACATCTCAGTCAACAGTTGGTCAACAATCAACTAATTTTGATCGATGCACTCGAGTCGGTCGACAATCAACCGACTGTTCATTGAGTGTCAACCGAGTCTCAATCGAGTACCGATCGAGATGTCGATCAAGGGTATCTATCGAGAGTATTGATTGACACTCAACTGTGGATTCCTTTTATTAGTACACATAATCCGGATATTGTGTGGTCATTCAAACTTAGCCTACTGCTGTATGTCATTTTTGGCTACATATCAGCTGATACGATTGCATCATCATCATCATCATCATCAT